ACAAGTACTACCACACAAAGTAGATTGAATCATGAAGATAAATTTACCTACATGCAAGTTTACCTAATCTTCACTGGCAGACGGTTGAAACCGTTTTTTTGTTTTTTTGTCTGTTTTCGTAGCATTAAATCCAGGCAAAGTTTTTTATATCGGTTGTTTCACAGATATAATTTGGCACCAAAAAAAAAAACAAAAACAAAACAAAAAAAAAAACACACAATGGTTGATTTGTTGCTGTAACGTTTTCTGGTTTTTAGCTGTCTTTGAAGAAAGAATTTCTGTGGAATTTGTTTGGACATGTAAAACACCCCTTAACATTTTATATACCCCTTAAATTTTATTTGTACAGTGGTGCATTTTATTTACTAATAAAAGGGTCGTTCTATCAATCCACCAGATCTTCTGCAGTATTCTCGTTATTTCGATGTAAATGCAAAGTATGTTTTCTGGGATTCATTAGTCTTAAATTGCTCCTAAGTGAAAATATGTCACAACAGTTGAGCTTCCAACTTTTCTATCACCCAGCTTAATAACAATGGCTCTTCTCCATGCAGTAAACCATTTCAGTGAGCCAACATACAACCCCCCTGTTTTCTAAGTTAATTGGAATGCAGCACTTACTCACATTATTGGTCTCATCTGAGCTTTTACTGCAAAAAATGTTCTATAAGGCACTCTCAGGAAAATCCCAAATTCAACAGACCTGCAAGTCTAATGTCAAAAAACTTTTCACAAGATTTTATTTGTTAGTAGTTTAACTTGCTTTTTACTAAGTATTTTACATGGGCATTTTCTGCTGTTTTATATTAGAGACCTTGAGAGCCATTTTAAATAGCTGTGTGTGTATGCGTGTGTTTGCACTGAGATTTTTTCGCATGCCTTTAGAAAAGTGAAGCTGTGCAGGTTTGTTGATTTTAATGTGACATTGACATTTACAGTAGATTTATTCTGATACTTAAAAGTTGAAGGCTAGTGTAAGGATTTATTCTCCTATTCTTGTGTGCGTGCATGTGTGTGTGCACAAAAGCCTTCACACATTTATAGGGAGGAAATGGAAATGTTTCTCTAATTACTTGCAGAAGGTTCAAAGTGATATAGAATTCTGAAGCACTTTGTTTTTTGCATGCCAAGTAAATCTATTTAAATTGAAAATATTATTACCACCAGTTAATCTCAGGGAAATAAAACTAACCATTTGTTGTTTTTACTATTTGCAATACAGATGGTAGGTTTCTTTTACTTACAGTAACAGATTCTGGTGTTGCTATTTTAAGTGTGAACCTATGTGTCTTTCTGGACTATATTTTTATTAAGTCAGTGATGTCCAAAGTCAATCCTCAAGAGCCAGTGTCTTGTATGTCCTAGTTCTTCCCTAGTTTAACAAGATGAGGAGGAGGAGATGGAGGAGGATGAAGAAGAAAAAGAAGCCAAGGAAAATGACAATTTGCTGATTTTCCATTTCCTTTCCCTGGCCTTTTTCTTCTTCTCCTTCTTCTTCTTCCTCCTGCTCTTCTTCTTGTTCATCTACTTATTGGGCCAAGTCCTGCACTGTCTGTCTCCAAATTTGAGCAGAAAGTCTGGCCAATCAGATCAATCAAAACAGTTACCTCCCCCAACTGACACCCTTCAAGCACAAAGAGCAACCAGAATTTTCTGGCAAAAGGTTAAAGACAGGGATCCATACCTAGCTGACACTTTTTTTTTTTTTTTTTAACCTGCTCCCCTTATCTACTCCATTTTGGTGTAACCTCCAGGTTCTGTTTTTGGGACTCTGCTGTTTTTTTTTTATTTAATGTTATTCCTCTTGGGGAAATATCCTGTCACTGCTGCACAGATGATATTTTGTTGCACACCTTGTTTCACACAAATGAAAAATCTCCATAATTTGTTAAAGTGCTTAAATTCTGTTAAGTGTAGGATGACAAAAATGTTTTCTTTAATTAAATGAGAAATGAGGGTAAAACTAAAAGCTTACTTATTTGCTTACATACTTAACTACAGAGCTGTTTCTCTCTTTTTCTCATTTTATCGCCAGCGTAATGTCAGCATAACATAATCTTTGTGAGGTCATGTATTGATTTGTGCTGATTGAAAACCAAGCTGCAATTGCCACCTCTTGTTTTTTCAGTGTCACTTTGATGTAGCTAACTGAACAGTTTTGTTTCAAGCCAGAAAGCAACCAATAATGAAAGATAGTATAACTGCTGTTGGCTGCAAGCTCTCATGCATGTCACTCCCTGGTTACAGGATCATTAATGCCTGCATCGATCTCCATTAGAGAGCTGGAACAAAAATAAGTACAAAAACTTGACAAAAACGCATGCACATTCACAACATATAAAAAAAGAGAGACAACTTTTGTGATATTTACCACATTGTTTTAGAGGGTTAAGATGACAGCATACTGTAATTACACATATTTTATGGATTAGGCAGTCATGGCTGGATGTGCACCGTTTCAATCCTTCCAATTCAGCATCCATGACTAGCGAACATTTAAGTCTCTCTCTCTGCTCTCAATTAATGCCTGGTCACAGCTTGGTTTATTTATTTTCTCTGGGTGGTACCTTCTTGCCGTGATTTGTGTTTTTACACAGCCTCTGTGGGAGCACTGGGAAGCTGTAAAAACACTGCCATTGCATCACTGCAGTGCTTCTTTTTATTAACACTCAATTTGAACTTGACCCTTTTTGGTACACTTTGTTCTTATGTGTACTAAAATGTGAAATTAGTTACCTATCTGTTTTATTTAGTATATAATATTAGACTGACATTGATGCCAGAACCTCACTCTATAATTTTCTCGGTTCTTATTTTTTAGTTGCTTTTCAGTGCACACAAAAAAATTCTAATTATGTTCAAAGATGCTCTGCATTGAAATTAACAGTGCATGAGATATCATGTGAAAATTTGCAGATGTGAAAAGAAAGACGTCAAAAAAGACTTTAAGAGGTAATTGCAGCAGCATTTACATTTTGCACAAATACACATCACACATTTATACAGATTTGTATTTAAAACAGAGATGGAGCTGATTCAGTCGGGTGCATAGAGTGACTTTTGAAACAATTCAGAGCAGAACTTGAACGTGTTCATGATATCTAAGCGATTATTTTAGTAATCGGGTACTCTTGCGATTATTCTGATTGAGTAATTGAATAAAAAGTGTCATAAAATATTGGTAAATATTGCCATTACTGCAGTATTGATATCGCATATGTGTACATCCCTAACAATTACTTTTCTGTAGGTTAGTAAATTTATTTTCCGATTCGTCGGTAAATCTACACTTTTGCTAAGCATCAGCTAGAGCACAGCAGCCCACTGTGTTATTCTCTGCTCCACTTGTCTATAACTACATCTACCATGCACCTTGCTGCCGTTCGCTCCAATCCAGCCACTAGGCAGCAGCTCTGGGAGGAGAAAGGCTGTTGTATTCTGTACAAGGATGCCTGTAGGTCACTCAAAAATGATAACAATCTGGATATTACCATCCGTTAACTGAACTTGAAAATTCACTATGGTTATACTGATAGCACTTCATAGGCGGAGGCGAGAACATTGCGCAACACAAATAATCACCCTGCCGGAAAAGGGTGTATTAAATAGTAAAACATAACATAACAAAGCTTCAAGGCAGATAATTTGCCTTGAGGAATTTGAATAATCGAGGTCCTCAAATGATTCAAGGAATCGTTAGAGCCCTAATGACTTGACAAAGAAGTTTTTTTAAAGGAATCAGCAATTTCATACATACAAAAAGGCATAAGAACGTCATGCATAATTTGAATGTAATTGCTGGATTATTTTACTAGAGATTAATAATATTTAGACTGCTGGATGCTGCAAAAGGTCATATTTCCTTCACTACGCAGCGTGTAAGCTGTAGGGGTAGGGATATTGACATTTCCAAAAAGACTTGCAGATGAAAGTGCAACAAAAGCTGGTTCACCAAGGTTTGACTCAGGGGAATTCTACACAAATGCACAGATTTATGTTTCAAAACAACTTAAGCAAATTGTTATTTTTGTCCCACTTCACAGTTATGCACTACTTTGTGTTCTATCATGTAATTCACAACACAAGTGTATGGTTAGACTAGGGAATGTGGCAAAACATTGTAACTTATAACACACATCACATACATGGATCTGGAATTGTTTTAAAATTGCTTATAGTAGTTTGGACATGGCCTTTGTCAGTGGGGAGAAACAAAAACAGGCAAAAAGCAGCTGTGTATGGATATGAATCCATCCAATTCAGTGTTTATGCAGACATTAGGACTGAACATCTATTGCAAGAGCTTTTCTCCTGCTTTTTGGACCTGTTCCCTCCTCATTTCATTGTATCCTTCGACTCAGCCTTGCCCAGCTCATTAGAGCCTAATTCTCTTCACGTGTGGACAGGCAGAACAGTAGTTTGTTTGTGTTGCAGAATAATCCTTAATCAATCCAAACCAAACTACAGTGTCTCATTATCTCCTGGAGCGTGCCAGCTTTGTACAGACGGAAACATGCCTGTCTGGTTTAAACAGGGTCCCATAAAAAGGGCACAGAAGAAGCTTGAACAGACCATTCTAATGTATATGCACAGACAAACAAACAAGCTCATAAATAGTGATAGGGCTGACTGAACCTGATGCATGGAGTGACTTTTGAAAGAACGCAGAAGAGAACTTGGACATGTGTTCATAATGTTAAGGCAAATAACAGTTTTTTTTAAAAGGAAAAAAAAAAACGACTTCAATTGAACAAAAGACACGTAAGAACTTCATGCATCATTTGAATATAATTGTTGGATATTTTGCCAGAGATTAATAATAGACAGAATGCTGGATGCTGCAAAGCATCATATTTTTTTCATTAGGCAGAAAGCAGGCTGCAACACGGTGTGAGGATATTAGATACACTAAAAGTTGGGTCTGTGTGGGCCCTACAGTAGGCACCACATGTTACTCAGGACTTTCCCAACTGCATTTCCTCATTATTGAATCCCTCTTTTCCAGATCTTTCAGCGCTCCTTGGCACTGATTCCACAGAGAGAACTCCTGCACACCAAAACGTAAGTCCGTGTGATGTGGTCACACTTAAAGACATTTCTGTCTTTTTCTTCCTTGTGTCTGTTCTTGTCATGCACTTATATGGAGTTCTGATTCCACTTCACACACACAAACATATTCTGTTGAAAAGCTTGAGTGACACGCTTCAAAGCTCTGATTTCCTACCGCCCCCTGGGAGGAGCTGTCCATTACAGTGACAGGCCTGACTTTTTAAAAATATTATTTCATATCAGGCCAGAGAGGTTAGAAAGAGACAGATGCTGTCAGTGAGTGATGGATGAGCTTCTTTTAAAAGGCCATCAGGGAAATAATAGGAGGCCCAGTGAGCCATGAAAGCACAAAGCTAAGCTAGGACAGTCTTCACTGTCTTCCCCTTCCCTGCCCACATCTTGGTAACTGTCAGCTTGAAAAATGTCGCCAATTAGAAAGTCTGATAATGAAAAGGTAGTTTGATGTGACGGATTGTGAAACAACTCTGGTGGTCGTGATTATCAGAGAGGCAGCAACAAAAAAAGCAAAAGTTAAACAATAAAAGATGCGTGAAAAAGCTGCAGCTCTGTTACAGAAAATTTATTTTTCAGTTTTTATTTTGATTCCAATTTAATTAAAGTTTTAATTAAAGGTATTCACAGAAGTTAACACAATACATTTGCCAATAAACCTAGAGAAACGTCACTAAAATTGATTTAGACTTTCAGAAAGAAACGCAGTTTGACGGCAACAATCGGACTCAGATGGTGTTACAAAATCACAAAATGGAATAATGAGTTTTGGTCTCAAGAAAATCCTGACAGAAAATGTTTAGACGTCAGTTGTGACATTAAGCCCAACGGTCAATGATCTAAAGCACGCCACTACTCAAAAAATGAATTAAATTAATTCTTTTGGAGTGGCCAAGTCAAAGTCTGTACTCAAATCTGATTGAGATGCTTTGGGGTCACATAAGTTCATGTTTAAAAACCCTTCAAAAGAAAAATCTAAAAAAAAAAAAGGAGTTATTGCAGCTGCTTGATGGGAGTTGTTACAGCCAAGGGTTACACAACCATTTATTAGGTTTAGCGGGCAACTACTTTTTCACATAAATAACTTATTTGGTGTGAATAGCTTCTTCCACTCTGTGAATGAAAACACCATTTGACAACTGAATCTTGTAATTTATTTCAATTTTTTAAAGGGTTTCCTGAATTTTGTATTTTCTGAAATGAACATTTATTTGACATCATATATTGAGTCTGAAACAAAAGAAAAAAATTGAAGAAATCTACAAAGATGCACATAGTTTGTCCCAGCCCTGCCGGTGTATTTTACACGAGGAAACAAAGCACTCATGTTGCTTTTACCAATATATGAGGCAGTTTGCTATTCTTTCATGTGATTGTCAAAAAAACACGAACAAGTCTAATTAAACAAAGTTCATCATGTTCGAGTCACAGATGTAAACGTAGATTTCTTCTCTTTTCAACTTATTAAAATATATTGTCGGATGTTTAAACAGGAAAGTCATACAGAAACAATTTCTTCACGGCGGCACTATCACACCCTTATTTCTCTAAAAGTTGAGCAGAATTGAGGCCATGGAGACAAATAGGCAGCATTTACTAGCCCCCAATTCTCTTTTTAATTAAAACATTTTGACTTAATGTTTCGTCTGACGCCAGACTTGGGACCAGTACCGGAGAATGAGTCAGAGCTGAAGAAAAAGAGCCCAAAGAAGAGAAAGATGGACGGAGACAGAGATTGAGGACTTCTTAGTCAAAACAAACTGTGCAGACAGACAAACCATAGACAAATTATCTAGTTTGTCTTTATAGTTCCATATAGCTCATGGTTTAAGGCTGCTCTTATAATGATTTATTTTCACACATAAAAAGGCTGGAGCTTAGATTTGTGCATGAGTCCTGTTGGGGTTGATAGTTGACAAATGCAATTAATTTTAAACCACTCATACATCCACGCTTTCTCTGCTCTTGTTTTAATGCCCACAATCAAAAGTCCTGGCCACAGTTTGACTAACTTAATCTCAATAAATGCCTCACCAATTCTGCAGACGGCTAAAAAGCAGTAAACACGAACTGTCCCCGTTTTGAATTTGACAACGCTATTCGAGAAGTAAACCAAAGTGGGTCCAGGAAAACCTATGCTATTAAAACAGTGACATCAGTGTGGTAAAATCATAACACACTGGCTTTTAAAGCATTTAGCTGACCCTGTGAGAGTTTTCCACGGGGGTATTTAACTGAGAGAAACAGCAGAGCTCTGGTGTCTGCAAACTCATGGAGAACAGCAACAATACCGAGGTTCAACAGCCCTACCTGTCTAATTAAATTTTTTTTTAAAGTGTTCACAGTCCAAACTTTACAGAAACTTTTGTTAATGCAATAGAAAGCACTATGGTAATATTTTAGAAATACCACAATATGCTAATCCGTGTGTGCGTGCTTGTGTGTGGGAAGAGGATATGACTTAGCACATGCTGTTTTGCCAAGGATGTGTCTTGGACTGTGTTGAGGGTTGGGACTGTGTCTGTTTGTGGGCGCGGGATTGTTTTTTACCATCTTTGATCTAATTGCTGGGAAGAGTTGATTTAGTGTGCCTATAAGTCAAGCTTTTCTCACTTGGCTGAGGACTTCCAATGCTCCGATATCAAAATCTCCCTGCCTCAGACCCAGAGCTACCTTGTAAATCCATTAAGACGTAAATTATCAGAAGAAAGGTTCAGTTTGGTGCTGCGGCTTTTTAAGGGGTAATCAGCAGAAAGGATAACACTGTTTATATGTTCTCTGGTAGCAGAGGAGAATGTTCATGTGTGCTGGGGTAAAGGAAGGGAAACAGAGGGAAGCTGTGGTGTCTAGTTCTTCGCCAGTCGCCTTGACCACTGGCATGTCTGTCTCTGTTGCTCTACCCCAAACAGCCATGTTAGTTTGTTCATCTCTTAAAATGTACAATCTCTTCTGACTCTCTGCGAGGTATGAATGGGAACATCGGGGCGCCTCATGTGGGGAGGTGGATGATTCAAGTGGCTGTCGGTATTCTTTTTCCATCAACATCTTTTTACCCACAGCTGATTGCTACCACATTGATGATGGTTAGTCAGGGGGGACTGCTGTATATTTTAGAGCCGCTGTGCCAGACCGGCTTCATTCTTTGTGGCATGAAGAGTCGGGTATCAGCCTCTGGCCTGTTGCCACCCTAGCATCACTGTCACATCCCACATCCCCAATTCTGTCCCTGATCCACATCTCTACTAAAGCCCTGGCTGTGGCTTCAGTAGTTTTATTGATCTGCAGTTGTGTTTTCAAGAGTCAACAAAGACACTAGTTGAGAGTTAAGGAATTCAGCTAAGAGCTCTTTGGATAATTTCACAAAGACCCTTTTGTTTTATACATGACTTATCCAAATTAGTTTTCTTTTTTCCAACCCCAAATCCCTGCAGTTTCCCGCAGCCTGTCTCCCCGCTCTGCCTCATCTCATCTCTGTGTAGAATATGAGCCTTTTGCTATCAACCTCCAACATTATATTTGACTCATTTTCCAGACTTCTCAGCTCTCTTGGTCTGGGTTTTATAAGAGCAACAACTTTATATTCATGTCTCATGCAATCTAATCCAGAAATTAGAAACTGTAAAATTTTGAGTCAGCATGGAACTAATTTTGTAAGTGTGCATTAAACCAAACCAGAATAAACCTTTTGGCCTCCTCTTTTATTTCTTTCTGGCACACCTATGCACCCCTTGTTTAGCTTGTTTTGTCTCTGGAAACTGTTACTCCTATCCAGAAACATTCACATTACAGCATTGATACATGATAAAGATAGGCATGACTATAGTCAAATATTGAACATATGCATTAGTTTTAAAGCAACCTATTCTCCTGATACATATGAATATAGTGAATGTTGTGTCTTCCCCCAGCTTTTATCATTAAGTTAAAAAAAAAAAAAAACTATTGGGGACACTTTTTCAGTTGCAAATCATTCAATCACATGGTAGCTTCTCAATGGATTTAGGCATCTGGACATGTTGAGGAAATCTTTGTGAAGGTCAACTCATCTTCAGAATGAAGAAAAACAAATTTAAGGGACTTTGAACATGACATTACTGTTAGTGTCAGATGGGCTGATCTCAGTATTTCAGAAACTGCTGATTTACAGGGATTATCACCAGAATGAGCTGAAAAAGTTGTGTATGTGACATATAGCACACTCTCTTTTTGTACAACCCATCAATCCTTGAAGCAGGTGGTCTACAGATGCAAAAGAGCACACTAAGTGTCATTCCTGTTACCTGAGAACAGGAAAATGAGGCTACACTGGACACAAGTGCATCGAATTTGAACAAACAGATTAGCACAATGTCGACTGTGCTGACGAGTCTCAATTTAAACTGCAATATTCAGATGGTTGCCCACTGTGTCCAACGTTTGGAGATCATTTGCAGCCCTTAGAATCTGTTTTTGTTTCTTCTGACCACAGTTCTGGAAGAGTCCAAATGGATCTGATACCAATGGAGACACTTTTTGTCATTTTTAAGCATAATGAGATGGACCCAACTTTTATATCAGTGGCTTACAATTCAGCTTTCTTAGCACACTTTAGGGCCTTTATCTATCAGTTGAACATTGGCAAAACATCACTGCCGACCGGTGAATTGTTGCTGACCATGATCAAATGTGTCTTGGCTACTTTCAGGAGAATAACACCATATTTCAAAGCTCAAATTATCTCAAACTTGACAATGAGTTCATTGTAGTTCAATGGCCTCACCTGTCACCAGACCTTTGTCTACAGCTCAAAAATCTGCAGTGACTTTGTGATGCCAACATCTACCAGAACCTCTGGGAAATGTTTCCAGTTCATGGTTGAATCTGTGCCATGAATAACTGATGCATTTTTGATGGCAAAAGGGAGACCAACTCAGTAAAAGCAAGGTGTCTCTAATGAAGTGGCGGATGAGTGTATTTCAAACTTATCCAGACTCCCAAGAGCCTTTTAGGAAGTGGGAGGGCTGCAGTTTGGAGGTGTGGCGCTTGTGTACAGATGTATATCATTCTTCTATGTGACATTTATGGAAAGGTTTATTACAGCAACAATCAAGGAGCTTTATTAGCACCCAATTACTGCCATAAAATTTCTTGGATCTCCTTTCTCCTCAAGTTCTTCTTACTACTATTACAAACAAGGAACTGCCAAACCTTAGATCCACAGAGACAGAATATTTGCCCAATTGCATCAGTTTGTTGCAATTATTAGTACAGAGTGAACATCTGCTAAAGAGTACATGAGAGTGCCAAGTTATGTAAAAGCTGCTTTACCTCTAATAAGAGGTAAACCAGAGAGAAAAAAAGAGGCCAAGCGTACATGGACCACAGTTGAAGAAGAAGATGATGGTTATTGGCCTGTAAAAGTTACACTTTCTCTCAGCCTACACTTACACCTCGCTTTAGACAAAGTTCACTTACATTAAAAACAATGGTGGTGAGATCGGAGATTGTATTATACACAGAGATGATTGCCAGGAGCTGATGCAATGCAGAACTGCTTGTTTGAAGAACAGAATTTCATTTTCAATAGCCGCCACAAATCTAGCCAACACTTTGATACAACCACAAAAGCACAGAGCTCGTCCTAAAATATATTCTTCTGCGGTTGTAAATGCAAAGCTTCTTCTTGATGTTTCTGGGATGTCTTCCAGCTCATGTTGAGAGCTCTTTGGGCACCATTGTAGAGATTCCACATCACAGTAGAGGCTCCTGAATTTGTTCTGTTTCACCAGAGACCTGGGTAATATGCAGGATTTATCTTCACTCTGACTTTATACTCTAAGGTAATGTTAGAAATGAAGAGCTTCAGTCCTTCTGGGAGTTTTACGGAAGGAAATGATCATGAAGACTGTCCAGCACTGGCAGCAGAATGGCTGCTTCATTACACGGACAGGTCCAGTAGTTGTATCGAAATGAATTGCTTTAAGGAGGTATTTCCTTGAGACAGAAAGGCTGCTTAGAATGACTGATGATGGGGCTTTAAAGGACCCAAAAGACTTCTGCTTTCTGCTGTATTGTAATATTATTAAAGCCTGTACTTATCTTGCTTTCTTTCTACACGCTTCACAACCATTTTCAGAAGAGGTCTCTTCCCACATGAACAACTTTCAAAACCACCCCAGTGTTTTTCTTTTTTTTTTTCTCGCCTGTACAACAGAGCTGAAAACAATTACTTTCAGCAAACAAAATTCTTAAAGCAAAAAAAAAAAAAAAAAAAGATCCCTGCCAATCAGAGCTCAATCACAATCCTTTTTTTTTTTTAACAATCCAAAATTCAAGTAATTTTAAAATACAATCCTGTAAAACATTCCATCCGTTATGTAGAGTTTGGATATCTCGTGTTGTGACAATTGACACAGTCATTCATGACATGCAGTTGACCAATCTGACCTTTGGGCACAGTAGTCATGACTGGCTACCAGTACTTTGATGCATTAGATGCCAAAGCCTGACAGCATTTCCTAATTTGCAGTAGAATCCCCAATGGATTCATATAAAGGAACTTCTTTTTAACCTCTGCATGATCCAGTTTTTCAGATGTAAAAAGGGAACATAACATTAGTTTACATCAGTATGTGGATGAAAGGATATATTTATCACTATGCCCAAATGCTTATGGATCTGCAGCTGCGCTGTATTGTATTTAAAATATATTTAGTATTTTAACACATCTTTCTCTTTTTTTCCCCTCTGGAAATGTCACTGTTGAAAAGTATTTTATTTTTCAACAATTTCAT